CCATACTGACTTGCGTCTGTCGTGACAATGAAAGGGGGAGAAGAATCAGCAATTTTTAAGACAGGGTAGTGAGTCAAAACACATTTCAACTTCCTCAATGATCACTCACAATCTTTGTCCCACAACCAAGGTTTTTCCTTCTTCAGAAGTTTTATCATAGAAGCAGTTATCAAAGAGAAGTCTTTGACGAACTTCCGATAATAAATAGCAAGTCCTAGGAAAGATCTCAACTCAGTTATAGTCTTAGGTTGTTGTAATCTTATTTTCTTCGGGCCTTAGTCCCTCCTCGTTTACTATATGCCTTAAATACAAGACTTAGGCTTCGCAAACTCAGACTTTTTCGAGTTCAGTTTCAAGTTGCCCTCGCGCAACTTTTGCAAAACCATTCATAGGTGTTTCTCGTGGTTTTTTAGTGTCTTACTATACACTAGAATGTCATTGAGATAGACTACTACGAATTGATTAAGCCATTGATGAAATAATTCATTCATAGACCTTAGGAAGCTCGTAGGTGCATCAGTCAAACCGAAAGGCATAACCATAAACTCCTAGTGATCATACCTGGTTCGAAAAGTCGTCTTATGATAATCTTCAGGAGCCACCTCGATCTAGTGGTACCCTGATTTGAGATCAATTTTACTGAAATATCTGCAACCTTGCAGCTGGTCCAACAGGTCGTCAATGCACGGAAGTGGTTCCGTATTTTTCACAGTGACGGAGTTCAACCCTCGATAGTCAATGCATAGTCGAAGTTCACCTTTCTTTTTGGGCACGAATAAAATGGGAGCATCATAAGGAGATGAGCTAGGACGAATCCATCCCTTGTTTGTAAGTTTCTGCAGTTGTTTCCTAAGTTCCTCAAGTTCCCTAGGGGATATTCGGTAGATGGGACCCTTGGGAATCTTGCTTCTGGGAATAATCTTGATCGTGTGCTTAATAGCACGCTCAATGATTCTCGTAGGCTCAGCCTACAGGTCCTTTTATTCCTCGAGAAGTTTCTCAATAGAAGGAGGATAGAATGAGGAACACTCACCGGCTCGTTCAACGAGTACCATCATCACATCCTGGTTCAACTTCTTTGAGACCATAGACCTAAAGGTTGGATAACTCATGCAACAGAAGGACAATGATGAATCGGATCCAAACTTGTGGTACAATTTTATTCCGCGAAGTACGGATGTCTCGTCCTTTAGTTTGACTTTTTTTTTTTTTAACCTTACCTCTGGGCCGACTTCCTCATGTCAATCCATTCCCAAAATCATGTCAAATGGCAGGTTCTTTTCGATTGGGAAGGATACCTCGTGGAAAATTTTGTTTCCTTCCTTCGTCCTGAAATAACATTTCACACGATCAACGTATTGAGAGACAGTGATCGTCCTCTTGTCAACCAGTATAGACGTGATAGGTTTAGGTAAGTCTCTTACCTTCATTCCCAGATGCAATTTACGAATTGCCTTCTCTGAGAAATAAGACCGCATCGATCCTGGGTCTAACAATGCACCTACCCGCGTATGTGCAATCTCAATGTCTGCGATCATGAGTTCACTCTTAGTCTTCACTTTCTTAGCCTACGAACTCCGAAGTGCTATGAGTTCATTGTCGAGTTCGTCAAGGGAATCGTCCAGTGAGACGGACCAAAGAACAGTGTCAGGGTGTTATGGACGACGGGCTGAAGAAGAGTCATCCTCTGCCTTAAGAGTTGAGGGGTTAAAAGAAGTTGTTGGCGCCTTACCTTTACTTTGGTCTAAGCCCTTCGACTCGGTAGGAGCAGATGCTACTCCTACCGCCTGGTCGCTTTTTGGTTCCGAATCAAAGGACACCAAACGATCACGTGTCCCACTGTTCCGCATTTGAGGCATTGGCGATTGTCCATTTTGGGCTGCCACTCCTCTCGTGTCATTCCCATCTTTGCCCAGGGTTTCCCGAAAGCAATGTCGGGGTGCTCGGGAAACGACCGTGGTCTCCTCTTCTCCTTCCATTGACATGGGCCTCCCTTGTTGGCCACTACGATAGAGATGTCACCCTCCCCAGACTCGTTGCCGCCATTTGCTCCTCCTCCCTCGAATTCGTCGAGGGGCAACTTCTCAACGGTATCATCATCGAAGACTACAAGCATATGGTCCTGGCGCTTTTGCCGTCAGAGAACCCTTTTCCCATACCCACCTACCGGACCACTCTTTACAACAAACGCATACACCCCCTTCACCTGTGTTGTCATTTGCTCCCTTTGGAGCGAGAGGTCACGAAACTGTCGATAGTTATACTTGTCGGATTTGGCTTCAGCCACGAGATGACCACGGATGGATTCAGGCAATGCACGCGAGAAGATGTAAAGGACTTGATTGTCCTTTAGGTTAAACCCTGGTACTCGCAACAACCGATCAACTTCTCGAGATAGTGCATCTACAGAGGTCCAACGCTTTTGCCCTATGGTGGTGAGCTCGTCGAAGGCCTTATCGGTCGTCGTCTTATCCAAGAATTTATCCTTAATCTTTTGGAGAAATTATCAAAGAGTCAGGGTCTTTGCCCACTCACCAATATCCTCAAAGCCGACAACATTGGCCTCGGACAATACTCATTCCTTGGCTGGCTCGCCAAGACAAGACGTCAAAAAAGTCACTTGGCTTTCTGGCTCTACCGGCGCAGTACTGCAATATGTCCAGATTTCAGCGATCCAGAGGAACAAATGTTCACCCCTTTTTCCATTGTAGGTAAAGGGAAGTTTCATTTTTACCTTTTCCTTCCTTTTCGGATTCTCACTTTCTTTGACCGGCTCTTCCTTTTTGGTGAGTTTTTCTTTCTTCTCTATCGGTCCCTCAAATTCTTTCTTGAAGGTTTCGGGGCTCTCTGGCGTCACTTTGACTTCTTTCATTGCATCTTCCATTAAATTGGCTTGGGGTTTTATCTTCTCTTTCCCCTTAGCCTCTTCCTTTTACTCGTCATGTTACCATCTCCAATGCGGCAGTATTACTATCAATCTTTAGTTCTGGGTGTGCCAAATAGGCCATCAAGTTATGAAGAACAAATGCAAGGTCAGTTTTTGTTCCTTCAAAGTTAAATTGTTGTCTAATTTCTTCTACTTTTCGTTCTCATCGTTCTTTTTCAAATTTTATCCTTCGGTACTTTTCCATCTTTCTCTTTTCTGCATTCAATGTCTCCTCCAATTGTCTAATGTTTGCCATCATCAATTCCTCAAACGGTTCTGGCATTTTCACTTCTTCCTTTTTTCCTTCTTTTATTTCTCCTCCTCCTTTCGACACGTCACCAGCAATCTTCGCCAACTGCTCGGCGACATATTGATCAAGGGCCATTCGGCCCTGATCAATAGTTCGCTGCACTCTCCCGCTGGCCTCCATCATCTGAACAACCGTTTCAGCCTATCGTAGCTCGGATTCTGCGGCACGCAGATCGAACTGGCTGCGTAAGTGTTGTTCAGCCATGGCTCCAGCCTCGTGCAGCTCATTCTGGAGCTGTTGAAGACGGCCTAGCATCTGCTGCCGTATGCTATCTGGCCACGTGTTCGGACTTCACCTCCATCATCAACGAAGAAGGTGACAGAGACAGGTAGGAGAAGATAAGGAATCAAGCGAATCGAAATGGAGAGACGCAGGGAGTTCCAAAGGTAAGACATTTTCAGATGATGTGTTTACCGCACAATAAATAGTTACAAATCAATAATAAATTCCACGATCACACCTGGTTTCAACTTATTACAACAAGAAATAAATAAAACAATTCAAAGAACAGAAATCAGTTTTCTCCTGGTCGAACTTTTGTTGTCTAATCTATGTGTGATGATGTCCTACAGAAAGTGTACATGTACCGCAGCCACCACCAGTGTTGTCAAGACAACAGCACACAGGTGAGTTTGCACAGCATCCACATAACAGCCAACAGGTGAGTAGGTCAGCCAACACAACCACAACAATCAATTGTTAGTCTTCCTTTCTCTACGGTTGTACCAACTGCAGAACCAATGCAACCAAACACAAGGGCCGACACGTAACACTACAGCAAATCGTGAAGCCGTACCGTCTGCCAGCACACAAGTGTACAATCAACCCCTCACCCACAGCAGCGTGTCATGCATGCCACGTGTCACCCTGGAATGTCAACACAGCAGCTCTATACAGTCTGCCATGTCAGCGTCAAGGACCTGGAAGGTCTACGGGGGGGATGCCATGTCAGCATGGCAGTCTGCAAACACATACAACACTGGTATGCCATGTCAGCTCAAAGTATGCAGTGCTTCATCAGCAAGCAATCGCAACACAAGTGCGTGACCAGCGTGCAGCAGCCATAGCCTCTAGATGTGACGAGTTGACTTAAGCTGAGTTCCTGGCCTTCGGCCATATTTCTGAGTTTTCTGTGTGGCCGCATTGCGCCATCACAAGTTTGCTGCTGACTCTGAGTTAACGAAGTTGTGTTGCCATCGGCACTTACATGTATGCATGTTGCGAGTGAAATTGAGACGACTCTGATTGCAAATTAGGAAAGAAAAAGATATGATGGTTTTGCAACACGAGGGACAGAATATGGAGAGGCAAGGGAGAAGAAGGGCGGCAAGGGTCGAAATGCATCACAAGTGCACTGTACAATGTCAATTGCTCACAAATACTCATGAAGCGGTCGAAATTGAAGAACTATTTGTCCGTTGAACAATTGGCCAGTCTTGAGGCTGACATAACGTGGTGGAAGTGGAGTGGCACGTGTATCAGTCGGTCCTGACCTTTACACAAGGCACCTGCTTTGGACGTCGTACCACTTCAATTCCACCACGTTGTGTCAACCTCAAGACTGGCCAGACGTCCTGGGGTCCAAGTCTCCGGGATCCCGTACATTCAATTTTCAGCAAATCTGGCGGTGCCCCTTGTCCTCTGAAATGTGGCACTTGCTGCGCCCGCTGGTGGGACCCCCAAGAAAAATTCTGAGGGGGGTTGGAGATTAGGAAATAAAAAAATATAAAAAATACGGTTTACCAGCTATACCAGCCGCTGCAGCAGGGCCTGCAGCACCTGCCGCATCAGCTGCGGCACTAGATGCAGCAGGGCCTGCTGCGGCATCTGCAGCACGTGCTGCCGGACCAGATGCTGCAACTGCAGGTGTTGCTGAAGCAGCAGCTGCGGCATCTGCAACATGTGCTGCTGCAGCAGCTGCAGCAGGTGATGCTGCAAGTGCTGCTGTAGTGGCAGCTCCAGGAGTTGCTGCTGCAGCAGCACCAGCTGTGTCAAGTGCAGCACGTGGTGCTGCGGCAGCAGCTCGAGCAGGTGCTGCTGCTACTGCTGCAGGAGGAAAGAAAAGGAAACAGAACGGGAAAAAAAAAACGAAGAAGAAGAACGGGGGAGGAGGTGGAGGGAAGAGGTGGATGGAGGAGATGGATGGAGAAGGTGGATGGAGGAGGTGGCGGGAGGTGGGCGAGAGGAGGGCGGGAGGAGGAGGAGGACGTGGAGGACGTGGAGGACGTGGAGGAGGTGGCAGGAGGAGGCTGGAGACGGTGGAGGTGGGCGGGAGGAGGTGTGAGGGAGTAGGGCGGCAGGAGGGGAGGAAGTGGCGGGAGGAGGGCGGGAGGAGACGGAGGAGGTAGACGACGAGGTGAAGGAGGAGGAGGAGGAGGAGGAGGAGGAGGAGGTCGGCGGAAGGAGGGCGAAAGGAGGCGGACGAAGTGGCGCGAAGAGGTACGGGGAGGGCGGGAGGAGGTGGGCAGGAGGAGGCGGAAGAGGTGGAGGGAGGAGGTGGCGGGACGAGGCCCTGAGGGGAAAGACGATGACGAAAACGAAGTGGAATAAGAGGAGGAGGAGGAAGAATAAGAAGAAGAAGGAGGACGAAAACGAAGTGGAAGAAGAGGATGAGGTGGAGGAGTTAGGCGGACATCGGAGGGGAGGGGAGGTGTCGCGATGGGGGGGGAGGGGAGGTGCTCAGCGGCTTTTTTTTCCCATCAGCGGCCATGCTGATCTTCTCTGTCTCGATTAAGGAGGAGGAAGAGGAGGAGGAGCAGAAGAAAAAGAGGAAGATGAGGAGGAGGAGGAGTACGAAGACGAAGACGAAGACGAGGACGAGGAGGACGAGGACGAGGAAGAAAAAGAGGAGGGGAAGGAGAAGGACGAGGATGGCAAAGACGAAGTGAAAGACGAGGAGCAGCAGGAGGAGGGGGAGGAGAAGGAAGAAGAAGAAAAAGAGGAGGAGAAGGAGAAGGAAAAAGGAGAAGAGGAAGATGAGGAGGAGGAGGAGGAGGAGGAGCTCATGATAGGGGGAAGGGGGGAAAGGTCGCGCAAGGCAGGGGTGATGGCGATGTCGAAGAGGAGGGGAGGTGTCGCGACGTGGGAGCGGACTTTGCGCAGGGGAGGGCGAGTCTATGGCGAAGGGGAGGGAGGTGTACGGCGGCCTTCTTTTTATCTTTCATCCTTGCGCGACTGCCATGATAATCTTCTCTGTGTCTACGGAAGAGGCGGACGACAATGAGGAAGGGGAGAAGGAAGAAGAAGAGGAAAACACGGCGGCCTTCTTTTTTTCTTTCATCCCTGCACAACGGCCATGATAATCTTCTCTGTGTCCCCTTCCTCGTTGTCCTCCTCTTCCATGGACACAGAGAAGATTTATCATGGCCGTTGCGCAAGGATGAAATTAAAAAAGAAGGCCGCCGTGCACCTCCCTCCCCTTCGCCATAGACTCGCCCTCCCGTCGCAAAGTCCGCTCCCACATCGCGACACCTTCCCTCCTCTTTGAGGACGGGGAGAAGGAAGAAGTAGAGAAGGAGAAGGAGGAGGACGACGAGGAGAAGGAAGATGAACAGGAGAACGAGGAGGAGAATGAAGAAGAAGAACAGGACGAGGAGGAGGAGAAGGAGAATGGCGAAGACGAAGAGGAAGAAGAAGAGGAGGAGGAGACGAGCAGGATAAGGAGTAGGGGAGGAAAGGGAGGTGTAGTAGAAGCAGGACGAGGAGGAGAAGCAGGAAAAGTAGAGGAGACAAGGAGGACGAAGAGGAGGAGGAGGAGGAAGAGGATATCCGATAAAGAGTGGGAGGCGGCGAAGGAGGATATCGAATGGGAGGGGAGGTGTCGCGTTATCGAAAGGGAATAGCGTCGCGATTGGGGGGCCGGGGAGGTCGCGCAGGGGAGGAGGAGTCAATGGCGAAGGGCAGGGGAGGCCCGCGGCGGCTTATTTTTTGGTTTCTTTTTCCTTGCGCAGCGGCCATGTTTATCTTCTCTGTCTCGATATCAGAGGAGGAGGAAGACGACGAGCAGGACACGGAGGACGAGGAGCAGGACAAGGAAGGGGACGAGCAGGACGAGCAGGAGGACGAGAAGGAAGAGGAGGAGAAGGAGAAGGAAAAAGAAGAGCGGAGGAGAAGGAGAAGAACGAGGTGCTCGCGATAGGGGGAAGGGGGGGAAGACCGCGCAAGACAGGGGTAAGGGCGACGTCGAAAGGGAGGGGACGTGTCGCGATGGGGGAGCGGAGGTCGCGCAGGGGAGGGCGAGTCTATGGCGAAGGGGAGGGAAGGTGCGCGGCGGTCATTCTTTTTTTTCTTTCATCCTTGCGCAGCGGCCATACTAATATTCTCTACGTGGATGAAAGCGAAGTACGACGAGGAGGAAGGGGAGAAGGAAGAAGACGAGGAGGAGGAGGAGGAGGAAGAAGAAGAGGAGGAAGAGGAGGAAGAAGAAAAGAGGAAGGTGAGGAGGTTGAGAATCAGAATGACGAAGACGAAGAGAAAGAAGAGGGGGGGGAGGACGACGAGCAGGAGGAGGAGGAGGAGGAGGAGGAGGAGGAGGAGGAGGAGGAGCAACAGGAAGAAGAAGAGGAGGAGGAGGAGGAGGAAGAGGAGGATGACGAAAACGAAACGAAAGAAGAGGACGAGGGGGAGTAGAAGGAGGAGGATAAGCCTATAAGGAGGACGAGCAGGATAAGGAGGAGGAGGAGGATAGGGAGGATGAGGAGAATGAGCAGGAAGAAGAAGAGGAGGAGGAGGGGGAGCAGGAAGAAGTTGAGGAGGACGAGGAGGAGGAAGAAGCAGAGGAGGAGGAGGAAGAGGAAGAAGAAGAGAAGGAGGAGGAGGAAGAGAAGGAGGATGACGAAGACGAAATGGAAGAAGAGGAGGAGCAGCAGGCGGCGGAGGATAAGCATACAAGGAATAGGAGGCGGAGGAGGAGGGTATCGAAGGTGGAAGGGGAATGTTGTTGCGAAGGTGGGGGGCGGGGAGGTCGCGCAGGGGAGCGGGAGTTGATGGCCAACGGAAGGGGACGTGCACACGACTTATTTTTTGTTTTTCTTTAATCCTCGCGCAGAGGCCATGCCCATCTTCTCTGTCTCGATATAAGAGGAGGAAAAGGAGGATGACGAAGACGAAGAGGAAGAAGAGGAAAAGGAGGAGGAGGAGCAGGATAAGGAGGAGGAGGAGGAGGAGGAGGAGGAGGAGGAGGAGGAGGAGGAGGAGGACGAAGACGAAGAGGAAAAGGAGGAGGAGGAGGAGGAGGAGCAGTAGCATAAGGAGGAAGACGAGCAGGATAAGGAGGAGGACGAGAAGGGCAAAGAGGAGGAGAAGGAAGAGGAGGAGGAGGAGGAGGAGGAGGAAGAGGAAGAAGAAAAAGAGGAAGATGCGGAGAAGGTGACGAAAACGAAGAGGAAGAGGAGGAAGAGGAGGAGGAGCAGACCTACGTGGAATACCGGAGGTGATGGCTGCTCGGCTATGCGCAGAACCCGTGTCCACGTTCTGTGAGCATCGACGTTGAATGCCGGCACCGTCGTCGCGCGCGGCGAGAGAGACAAAGCCGCGCGACCTCGAATTAGCTCAGTTGGTAAGGCACAGAAGTTGCATGCAGGAGGTCGTAGGTTCAATACCCATTCGCCTCACGTATGTGCCTGGGCAAGCTTGGTGGTCTACCAGCTAGAGATAACTCGTTGGCCCCCCAAGCCAGCATTGACAGGACCTTGGCTGATGTTGTTGGCTGCTATGCAGCGACAATATTGGCCATTAGACATCGCCATGCGGGGTTGGGGGGGGGTAGGGGGAGGTGCCGTGACTGGCCATTGCTCGTGCTAGCGCCGATTTCCCCCGTAGGCAATGCCTGCCCACCCCTCGTCACCATGATGAGGGACTGGTACGGGCTTGCTCTCTTTTTAACAAGAATAGCCCTTGTGTAAGGGGCTGATCCCACCTCTAGTACGGAAGGCACTTTTCGGGATTTTTTGGGATCCCACCTCTTTCCGCGTGAGGCGGAGGGGGCCCTCTTTTTTCGTGGATGTGGAAACCAAAGGGGACGTGTCAAGCCGGGCGCATTTGCAGGCAAGAAAGTTCTTTTCAAACGCAAAAGAAGACGACCCCCTCTTTTCCCCGAAAAAGAAGGCAGGGTTTTCCTTTTTTTTTTTTTTTTGGTAGATGTCCGGTTGGTCCAAACGCTGTGCAACGGCAGGCCGCACAACACCCGACCAAATGTCCGGGTGGACCGACTTCGGGAAGTAGGTGTTCCTCACCGCCCATAAATTTCCGGAGCACCTACAGTAAAAGAAACGAATTCCGTGGCCTTGTGGGATCCCATTTTTCTTTTACGGTCCGGACGGAACGGGCCCTACAAAACCGTTCTTTTTCATTTCTTCCCAAAAATAATAGAGGTGGGATCAGACCCTAAGTCCTCCATCCCGATGGTGGTAAGAGAACCATCAGGATCGAGGGCTAATCTTCCGGGCTGCTCCATCTATTTGTGGGGAGCGGCACCTGCTGGAAACCGGGTCCAGCGTCCCACATATACAATTGAGAACACAAAAGTTAGCAATCAAAGTTCAGTTGGCTGCTCGCACCACAGCTGTGGTGCCAACCTACCCCGTGGGCTGGGCAGAGATCTGGGTTGGTTGGTGTTCCCCCGTACTATACATAGACTAGATAAGTACTGCCAAGAAAGAGGAAATAGATGAGAGAAGAATATAGCTTACATTTAAAAACAATGCCCCATCCGGGCCGTAGATCTTCAAGATCTAACGGCCTCAATCGGGCCTTTATTCACTTTTGGAGGCCCTCCTGTCCTCTGAAAATTCGTAGCGAAGGACGACGACGACGTGCGCGGGACGACATACGGAGGCGCTTCCGGCAGTGCGCGGGCGGCAACGGTCGATTTTTGAATCGCAGGCAGGCACCTTTGTCGTCTACTCTGGTGGTTGTCGGCATATGAAGGTCCAGCGGCCCTATCCACCGGCATGCCAGAAGATACTTCTGCAGTAGTCGCGTGGAAGGGTGTTTGCCTGTGATTCAATTGATGGCAAACATGCACAGGAGATTACCTCTGCTGGTGCTCGTTGTGGCCGTCTTCCTGTTTGTCGTCTTCCTCCACGTGTGTTTGTCGTGCCGGCCGTGGAAGCAACGTCGCAAGCGGAGGGCGGCAACGAAACGGCAGGGAGGGGAACGTCCGATGGCGGGCATGCAGGCACGTGCGGTTCTGGCTGCAAGTCAGGGCGGAAGACGACCTGCGACGGCAGAGCCTCGACGGCGGTACGACTCATCCATGTACACCCATCTAGAGTCGTGGGAGACGCCGGACGAGGAGCCGGAGACGGAAGAACTTCCAACTTTTGCCTCTCGCTAGCGGGTCGACGCAGTTGTTGTCGCAGACGGTGCGAGCAGGCGGGTCGGCTAGCAACGAAGGCGACGAGTTCACCTCACTCCTGCACCAAGGCTTGGGAGACGACGACAACGGAGGACTTTATCTCAAGTTCGGGTTGTGTTCTGGCGGCGCTAGGGAGGCGAGTCGTACGTTCATCATCGACGTCGATCCTTTGCCACGTGGCCTTCAACATGTTGGAAGCGAGCATACGGAGCAGTCCACACTTCGTCGCGGTGCGTCCGTTACTGGCGGTGTTGGGCCATCGGCAGCAGCCCAGCAGCATGGATCGACTGCACCGTCCGCCGATCGATTGACAAGTACCTGGCCCGCGCGCACTGGAGTCACATCCGGGTCCCTGCGCATCGCCGGTGCACGTCCTTCGATGCCCAACCGCACAACGCCGACCCAACCTGACCTGAGGGACGAGGGCGCCCGCACACCACCGGTGCGTCCAGGACCCATTGTGGAAAACATCACACGAGGAGTGTCAAACATGCGGGCACACAGCGATGGCGGCGACAACGATGGCGGTGGCGGTGACGATGCCGACGAAGGATTGAGGGAGGACGTGGAAGCAGGGGACGACGACGACGACATTCCTATTCCGCCTTTGGGGAAGACGGGTAGGAGGGGGAAAGGATGCAGTAGAGGTGTTGTTCGTGGTCGATCCGTTGGCCGTGGCGGCAGAGGTGGCGGCAGCGACGACGGTGGGAGGTCTGCGACGTACTGGTCTTCGGAAGACCAAATGCTTCTGGTGAGATGCAAGCGGGAGCAAGAGATGCACCTCGCCGGGCTGGGTCACAATTACGGGCGGATGCGGACCAAGGAGTGGAAGTGGGACGACATTGCCAAGCGCATAGTGAACGCGGGGAGGCCTAAAGATGCCGACGACTGCAAGAAGAAGTGGGACAATCTCTTCCAAAACTACAAGAAGATATAGAGGTTTCAGAATGCCAATGGCCAGACATATTTCTTCAGGCTATCGAATGAAGAAAGGAAGGAGCACGACTTCAAGTTCCGGATGGAGAGGGTGCTGTACAACGAGACCCACGTAGGCATGCTAGGGAAACATACAATTTTCCCTCCCAACGTCGCCGACACCGGCAATCCGGATGGGGTGCAGCTGCCCAGTCGAGGAGCGGTTGGTGGGGAGTCTGTTGGTAGTGAGGCCGGTGGTGACGACTGCCCTGAAGAACGTTCTTCTGCGAGGGACTCCGATAACAACGCAGGTAGTGGGGCTGGAGGCGAGAAGCGGAAGAATGTGCGTCAACAGGCGTTGGAGTCAATCGCTGATGTCATGGACCGCCATGGCGAACTGATGTCGGCGACGATCGATTCGTCTAGCAAGCGGTAATGCGATATACTCGAGTAGGAAGTTGCAGTCAAAAAAAGGCACTGTGCGGCGTCCGATGAGACACAGAGGATGATGAGCCACGCGCTTATGGAGATCGCTGCGGCCATACGTGGTCGATCGCCGATGTAGGCCGTTCGATCGTGTGTTGATTGAAGTCCAGTCTTTGCGTTCGTACTTGGCTTAATTTTTTATTCTTTTTTTTAGTTCACGGATTCTTCTATCAAGGAGCACGGTGGTAGACCGCATGGTGTGTGTGTG